GTCAGGGAGCATCATAAAGCACGGGGGTGGGGAGGAGCTGAGGTTTGGAGTGTCCCAGTCCTGCACTCAGGTTCCCCCCTTCTTCCTATCTACCTTGTGACATGCATACCTGTCTACTTCCTTTCAGCCTCCTGTGTGGAGGGGTTCACAGCAGCAAGGGGGAGGAAGGGAGAGGCGTGCAGATCAGGCTCTTTGCTGCTAAAACAGGTCAGAGAGTAGCAGCTGCAGCAAAGGTGGGCTACTCCAAGCCCATTCACAGGAGCAGCAGGCTTTTTCCCCATCTCCTGCAAGGGGAGGATTGGTCAGGGGACCTTTTTCACCTCAGTCCTCCTCTTGAGGGAGCCTGCAGTGATTTGGCAAAGGTGAGGCACTGCATAGCAGGAGGATGAAAGAGAGACACCTCTATCTTGGAGCCAGATACTTGGCAGGAATGGTGTAGCCACGGATGATCCTGCCATAAGCAGGGGGCTGAACTAGATGACCTTGTGAGGTCCCTTCCAGCTCTACTTTCCTATTACCGTTTCTGCTCCTTCCTGATAAGGGAAGTTTTGAATAGCAGCTACGAGAGAGAATGAGGGAACCACAGTGCCAGTGTGCCCTAGATTCAGATGGGAAGGGTACTTAGAAGACCTAAGTTCAAATACTTTTTGCCTGGGTCAGGGCAGGGAAATGAGCAAAGAGCTCCCGATCTCCAGGCAAATACCCTAGCTTCTGAGTGAAAGAGGAGTAACGACCTCCTCCTTGCTGGTCCATGAATCTAGCTATTCATTCCTTTGGTTTTGCTAGTGCCCCCAAACATTTTTTCTGCTTTTGTTTTGCTTTGTTCTGAGCTTGGATTGGATAAGCACTAATATATATTCATATGCACACATATATGTATATAAATATTGGGTTTTCCTGTTTGGCTGCCAAATCAGTAACTTGTCTGGCCCTACTCCCAGGCCTCAGGCCATTGGCAAAAGGGGAGTTTCCTTTGGAAAACTCAGATGGCTTCATCCTGAAAAGGAGAGAATAATGAAATGGAAGAGGCAGCCCAGGCATTCTGACCTGGGAAGGCCCTGGCCCATCCCCAGTGCATCACAGGCCAGGCAGGACACCTTCCTCCCACGTGAAAAACAGTGTGGCCTCTCCTGGTTCCAAGATGCTGCTTTACCCATTGCCCTGCTCCTACGTAGGTCTCTGCTTAAAGGTATTTTTAATGCTCTTCACTGGCACGTTACTCCATGACCCCTGCTCATTGCAACTTCCCCAGCCACACTATAGAGCAGACTTGGAAACTCTTGCTTGTTTCTTTGCCCTGTCTGGTTTGGATTTTTTTCACTTCTGGTGACCTCTCAGGGGAGAGACTGCCTCTCACTGATTTCTGGGACGCTGTTCAAATCTGGAAGGTCAAATTGCCCTCAACCACAAAGTACTATTTGTCTGCTGACAAGAAGACTGATACTGCTAGGTGAAATGTTTGGGGTGAGAGCAACGCTAGTGTTTGAGGCTATGAAGGCAGGATGTACAGAGCACCACTGGCATACAGTGCCCATTATGGTCTGCTGCCTGGTATGGTCTACTGGAAGGGTAGCCAACCTGCATCACGGGAAGCCTCTGAGTGTGACATGAAGCAGATTGAGGAAGGGATAGGCAGCAGAGCAGATAGGGGAGAGAGCAGAAAGCAGGGCAACAACTGGGCAGAAAACAGAATACCACATTGTGAAGGACAAGGGGATCAGAGTGGTATAAGGCTTGATTTGTGGCCTGCTTGCCAGAAAGTTGGCCCCCACTGGCCTGCTGCATGGAGGCAACATTCCCCAAGAAAGTTCATGGGTTTTCACCACACATTAAATGTTAGCATTTTTGTGATAGCTTTTATCGGACCAATTGTTTACTTTGCCCACCCACAAAAATCCTTGCCTCTCATTTTTTCCTGAACCATCACAGCTACATCCACACTACCAAAAGCAACATTAGAGTTGGGGCACCTGTCCCATTTTGCCTCAGCTCTAACCCCGAGGAACTTGTTCTGCATGAAAACAGTAACATAACCAGCCCAAATGCAAAAAAGTGATCAGGCCCCAGAGACCTCTCTGAAATCAATGGGACTGAAAGGATCAGTAACATTTATGAATTGGCACAATTACTGTCATCCTGTTGCCTCAACGATGCCAGCCATTTTGACAGAGTGCCACATGTTGCGCTAGCAGTACCACTGTTGTCTGTGATGGGGACAGGGGTTAGCATAGAAAAGTTTTTGGCAGCAACTGGCTGTTTAAGTTGAAGAACAGTATATGAGATGCTTGTAAAAATGTTAGCATCTATCCTCCACTGATTCTTGCCTCATTGCACGCATTTCAAGTGGAACGGTAGCAGAACACTAGGGAGAGAATTTAAACAAAAGGCTAACTTAGACCTAACCATGGAGGCCCAGGGCTGCTCACCTTGAAGTGTAAGAAAGTATAGTCACTATCTCCACTGGGAACAGGTACTAGCCCTGCATCAGAGCTCTGCTTTCAAGGATGTCTCTCCTCATAGTCCCCATTTCAAATAAACAGGATAGCATTTCACTCCTATTTTTTTTTATTCTAGCGTCACATTCATTAGCAATAGGAATCATTGCATGGTGGTGCCAGCACCTCTTGTACACGTGGAAAGACCCTACAGCAGTTTAGGGTTTCCTAGCTGAAGCATTTTTGGTTCTTATTCCAGCATCCATCACCTATTTGCCTTGGGCAGGCTGAGAGGCAGTCTACCTTGCCATTCAGGGCAAAGAAACAGAGAAATGAGACCCCTATACTCAGCTCTCCGGTGAGAGCAGGCGCAAGCCCAGGAGTCTTGGGAATAGGGTGAGCACGCTTCTGCTCCTTTCACTGGAAGAGAAATTGGTTTCATGACTCAGGCCTGAGAGCTTTGCCTTGTAAAAGCCAAGTGTGGGTCTGGAAACCAGGTCACCAGGACCTGTTTGTCAGGTTCCTATTTTTGTTTTTCATCAGCTCGGTATTCCTGAAAACAAACTGTGTTGTTGTCAGCTAATTAGTGGCATGCTGTGACCGAGCAGTGAGTGCCTGTAAGTTGTCTGGGTTTGCCTAACATGACACAGTTGAGCTTCTGTATTTTGACCTTGCTGTGCCCACTCATATTAGCAGTTCCTTATGTCATAGAAGTAGGGTCAGAAGGGACCTTGTAGATCTTCAAATCCGACCCCCTGCCTGGGCAGGAGGAAAACTGGGCTCAAATAACCCCAGCCAGGTAGGCATCAAGCCTCTTCTTAAAGACCCCCAGGGTAGGAGCCATCACCACTTCCCTTGGAAGTTGGTTCCAGATCCTAGCCGCCCTAACTGTGAAGTAGTTCTTACGGATGTCTAATCTAAACCTACTCTCCAACAACTTGTGGCCGTTATTCCTTGTTATCCCCGGGGGGCGCTGGGGGAAACAAGGTCTCCCCCAAACCCTTCTGGTCCCCCCTAGTGAGTTTATAGTTGGTCACCAGGTCCCCCCTCAGCCTTCTCTTGTGAAGGCCAAACAGGTTCAGGTCCCGTAGCCTCACATTGTAGGGTCTGCCCTGCTGTCCCCGGATCATGCAGGTGGCCCTCCTTTGGACCCTCTCAATGTTGTCCACATCCCTCTTCAAGTGGGGTGCCCAGAACTGGACACAGTATTCCAGCTGTGGCCTGACCAGTGTCGCATAGAGGGGGAGGATCACCTCCCTGGCCCTACGTGAGATGCACCTGTGGATGCACGATAGGGTCCGGTTGGCCCTGCCGACCGTGACCTCGCATTGTCGGCCCATATTCATCTTGGAGTCAATAATGACTCCAAGATCCCATTCAGCCTCTATGCTCTCAAGAAGGGAGTTTTCCATCTTATAAGTGTGCTGCTGGTTACTACTGCCCAAGTGCAGCACCCTGCACTTGTCCGTATTGAAACACATCCTGTTTTTGTTAGCCCACCCCTGCAACCTATCCAGGTCTTTCTGCAGTCTTTCCCTCCCTACTAGCGTGCCCACCTCACCCCAAATTTTGGCATCATCAGTAAATTTGAACAGGTTGCTTTTCACCCCGTCGTCCAAATCGCTGATAAAGAAATTGAACAGTTCAAGCCCAAGGACCGAGCCCTGGGGGACTCCGCTGCCCACTTCCCCCCAGGTCGAATATGACCCGTCCACCACCACCCTCTGAGTACGACCCTTCAGCCAATTAGCAATCCATCTGACCATGTAGGCATCAATGCCACAGTCGCCTAGTTTTTTAATGAGGATGGGGTGGCCGACAGTGTCAAAGGCCTTGCTGAAGTCCAGAAAGCCTACATCCATGGTGACACCTGCATCCAATGAATCTATGAATCTATGAATGCTTTTGTGACCTAATCGTAAAAGGCAATCAGGTTGGTCTGACATGACCTGCCCCTAATGAAACTGTGCTGGTTGCCCTCTTCCCATTAGTACAGATTCCACCAGTGTTTTGGTGTCCTTCCACACTCTTGTCACCTTGAAGTAGTTCCTGGCACAGTAATGATAGCTATTTTCTAGTGGCCTCACCCAAGGCCAAGGAAGAGCACTATTAGCCTTACTGGCATTTAAGAATTTTCTATTATATAATCAGGGGAGAGAGCACTGCAGCTTTCCAGGTGGAGTGATTCTCTTTCCTGCTATGGGGAATTCCTGAGTCCCTGCTATATGACAGTCTTCTCCCTTGGAAAGCCAACACTGGACTGAGATTTTCTGCAGGGCTTAGAGACTGTACACTAAAAAACTGGAGGTGAGAGCCTAGAGCCAAGATATCCAGAAAGCTTCATTATACTAGAAAATGAAGCCTTTATAAGAAGCTATGCTGAAAGCTTCTAGATTGGGGCCTAGAGTGAGGACGCCTAGAAGACTATAGCATAGAAACAGATCAGACAGAACATAGTAGTGCTGTCCTGAAGTATCCCCATTGTGTAGGCAGAGATAAGAAAGCCCCCTACAATTGTAGACATATAACACCACAACTTCAAAAAGGTTTCTTTGGGTTTCACAGGCCTCTCCAACTGCTACTGGAATATATGGGCCAGGGAGGCAGATATTACTACTAAGGAAGAGACACCTTGGATGGTCCGGATCAGCATCTTTTTGGAGCTAGGCACAACATTTCCATCAAAACCTAACTGCAGCACAAAACGACTTTTAGATCAAAATGAAAAATTTTGATCAGAACTTATTTCAATGATTACTCTATAAACCATTTTGTTTTGATGAGGAAAAAATACTGTCTCTTACTTTTTGACATGGCCCCCTTTTCACAGCGAACAAAAAAGTTAAAAGTACAAGAAAGTTTTCACCCACCAAACCAAAACACCATTATTTCAGTTTGTAAGTCAATTAAAAAGAAACAATTAAACAAAGTGAAAACTGCTCATTTCTGTTGGCATTTGTAGGGAACCAGACTAATCTTTCTCTGGCCAGATCTCCCTTCCTAGTGACTTTTTCTAACCTCACAGTATCGTCATGACTACCATGGCATAAGCCAACTACTACACTAGTGATCCATAGACAACATGCAACATGCTGAAGATTTAAAATGTCATCTGAACCAATTGGCCCTGATGCTGCAGGAAAAATGGCAACTGAAAAAATGCCCTTTCCTTAGGAAACAAGCAAAATAGACTGTATATGAGGCTTTCTGTCTTTCTTTTAAACAGGGAGCTGCTAGAAAAAATGTGACATCCTGAAATACATGGTCCTGCCAGTACCTATGAAGTCGACAGGAATCCTTGCTTTACACACTGTTCAGGAAATGCTGCATGTTTTTGTTGTCACTGATGAGATTCAAATACATTCTCTTGTTAAAGTGGAATCACTATCTGCTGAGTGCATCTGTTGCATAGCAGACATGTGGGTGGAAACAAAGCACAAGAGGGCTGAGATAAACATACCTTCTATTTGCCACCAGCAATTCCGTGTGTATTGAGAGGGGATTTTTCAGCGTCTGTTCCTGTTGCATCACATTCCTCCCAAATTCAGCTCCGGGAAATACACTGGTAATGCATTTGACAATGGTGGCTAAAGGGAAGCAAGATAAAGGGAGATATGGTAACAGCTGAGAGATATTGGTAGTTAGCTCTGAGCAGGGTAAAGAATTCTTTAGGATGATTCACTGGAGGAATAATGGGATTGAATTAAGAAAAGGAAAATGCTGGCCAGTGTCATGTAGGTCTGATTGACTGTAAGAGCTTCTGAGTACAGAACAGTCTCCTAATGAAAGTAGCCCTGTCTTGGAGCATTTAAAATGATACTTTAAAATGAGACTTGACAAAGCCCAAGACAATGTGTTGTGCAGGACAATCCTGCTTAGGCCATTGGCAGAGCTGCCGGGTCTAATGAGTCTTTCCCCACCCACCTGTCTCTATTTTATTGTATTGCATTCTTACCTATGGTGAAGCAGCAATACATTGTGCCAGCCCCAGGGCTACATACCAAGTCCTTGTGGGCTCATCTCCAAAGGAGATCCTTGGCTGTCTTTACAAAGAAGCAAATGAGGTTTCACTCCAAGCTTAGTTTCACAACGATGTGTTGAGCACTATCTGATGGGGACAGGCAACAGAGAACATCTTACCAAGGATTTCTCTGAGGGGATGATTTTCTTAGAACAAATTAAGCCAATGCACACCTGGTTCCCTCCGTGGTGTGGTACCCACTAGCAACTGTCACAACCCAAAGTTGTGATTTTTTGTTTGTGTGTGCTTCGGCACTGCTAAATTATTTTCCCGCTAAATTGCAGCTTCTTTGCACGGTGGAGTTTTCTGCTGCAGAGGAGAACCCCGGTGCAACGGAGTATTCCCGCCAAATTTGTAGCTTTCTTTGCATGGTGCATTTCTTTTGCATCCAGGAAATGCACGGTGCAAAGGAGTTCCCGCCATTTGTATGAAGATTCATGCCGCATTATTGGCCGATTCTAATACATGCACACGTGGCGGCTAGCGATTGGCTTGCTAGCCGTATAAAGAGCTTGGGTGGTTTCCGCCCAAGTTGGAGAGAGAGCAATTGGAGTTCGAGAGGGAGAGCGTGAAGATCTCTAAGCGCTGCGGATCCTTACGGACCCAACGCTTTTCTTAAAAGGCAATAGAGGCCTGATAACCAAACCCGCAGAACTTCAACGACTCCGGGGAAAAGAACGAACAGCCTCTAGCCTCTCCCCGTCGCCGATAAATTCCTAGACGTATCCCTTCCTGTACGAGAAACTACCGAACCCGCGGAGTTTCAATAACTCCAGGGCAAAGAAACTACTGAACCCGCGGAGCTTCAATAACTCCGGGGCAAAGAACAAATTGTCGTAGTCCTCTAACGAGGATTTAAGCGGAGCTGAACCTGGAAACTGTCCAGCCTATACCACGACCATCTTTGGTGTAAGTAAACAATCTTTAAATCAACCATTACGCGTCCGTGACTAATTCTAGCTCGCCACCGGTCCTCTCCGACCCCGCGTGCCCTGGCTGCTGGCAACAGCCCGCGTGCGCAAAGACGGGCCCGGCTCGCCCCCGGCT